CTACCTCGTCAACTCCACTCATGTACCTGAATACATTGCAAAAGGACCCCTAGTCCCTTAACCCTCACATGATCAGAAAAGTTTTCTTCATACCCCTACAAAATATGTCATATGTACCGGTGTAATAACTACCTACCCATGGACGCGAAGCCACCCTACCCCCTAAATACTAGGAGATTTTTTTTTCCCTCAAGCTCGCGTGCGGCAGGCGATCAGCATGCAGCGTAACAACCAGGACAGCGTGCAGACCTTTGGGAAGAAGGTGAGACGATGAGTGATGGAGAGATGATGTTGAGAGGATGAAGTGATGACCACAAAGATGATGACGCATGAGGAGAGAGGATGATATGGCTCAAAGGAATATGAAAGTTGTCATGATGAACATGTTCTACACGATGCTGTCGAGGGAGGGGGAAGAGGAGAACAACGAGATGAACAAGAAAAAGGAAGAGACAGTGCGAGGGAATGGGAGGGAGAAGAGATACACGTGAACGAAGGGGAAGCGGAGGGGAGGAGGGGGAGGAGGGAGAGGAGGGTCATGAATGAGTAGAGGTGCTCACGTCTGCCTTTCCCCGCACTCTTACTTGGCGTTGGGATCAAGTTCGGTGCGATCTTCGTGGGAGTCTGGAGGAGATGAGATGAGGGGAGGGGAGGCAAACGTTGAAGACGAGAAGAGAGCGGACGAGAACAGGAGGAGAGAGAAGGGAGGGGAGAGGGAACGACAACACATAAGAGCTACCCGTTTGATTGAGACAGCATCGGAGACGGCGGACGGGAGGATGAGAAAGTTGTTCGGGTCTTGCGGATCACGAGACCTGCGGACGAGGGTCGATTGCGTTGAAGGAGGAGCCCGACGTAATGAGCAGACGATGAATGAGAAGGGCAGGAGCAGAGGCAGGAGCAGGGGTAGAGGTAGGGGCAGGAGCAGGAGCAGGAGCAGGGGTAGAGGTGGAGGCGAGGGGCAGGAGCGAAGGGGGTAGGGGTAGGAGGGCGAAGGGGCGAGGAGCGAGGAGCGAGGGGTAGAGGGTAGAGGTAGAGGTAGGGGCAGGAGCAGGAGCAGGGGTAGGGGTAGAGGTAGGGGCAGGGGTAGGACCTTCCGTTGTCCTTGGAGAAGGAGAAGTCAGGAGGAACAGACTTGGATACGCTTCTTCCATCAAGATTGTCCTGCCATGCCTGGTCGTCACCCCCTCTCCCTCCTCCTCCTGCTCGTGCTGCTGCTGCTGCTGCTGCTGCTCTGCTGCTGCTGCTGCTGCTGCTCTGCTGCCATAATCTAACTTTTTTCCCCTCTTACCCGAGGCTTTGCTCGATATCTTGTCGTCTTGTCGCATCTGAAAGTTCCCTGAGGAAAACTGTCTTGTAGGAGCTGAAAAAATGATCAGTCCCCTCCTCCTCCTCCTGCTCCTCCTCAAACCTCTTGGCATAGCGAAGCAGGTGATCCTTTGCTGTTGCAGGCCTTGAGGTCCAACTGCCATATCGTTACCTCCGCCCCCTCCTCTATCCTGCTTCCTACTGCTCCTCCCTCCTCCCTCTCTCATCCTTTCTCTCTTCCCTCCTAACTCTCTGTCTTCCAGCCATCGTTCACCTGGGGCAACTTTGTCTCGCTGCTCTGCCATGGGGAGCGATGGTTGCGGAGCAGCGGGCGATAGGTTAGCGACGCTTCGAGATCTGCTGGAGATGAGCGAAAGGAGGGACGAACAAAAGGAAATAAGAGAGACAAAGAGGAGGAGCAGGAGCAGGAGCAGGAGCAGGAGCAGGAGGAGCAGGAGGAGCAGGAGGAGGAGCAGGACCGATCTCTTTTTGTGCACGATCGAGTAGTTCTGATCGCCTTCTTTGAAACAGCTTGTCCGCCTCGTCGAAGGACCAGGACTTGGAGGAGGTATCAGCCGGCTCCGCCCATTCTCTCCTTAGGTTCAACTTCATCCCCTGCTGCTGCTCGACCACCCTCACGCCCTCCTGCTCCTCCCTCCTGTCTGTCTTGATGCTCTCCTGCTCCGCAAGGTTCATCCCCGCCGAGGGCTCGTCGAAGGGCTCGTAGACTTTCATCCATCGGCTACTGAGTGCAGGGTGAGATAGGGTGAGGGAGAGAAGGATCTTACATCCTCCTCCTGGGTGAGTCCAGCGACTCCTTGCAGTGATGAGTCAGGAGCGAAAG